GATAGAATAAATGCTTCGGCTAAAATCACACAAGCAACAAAGAACCGTTTAAATCAAATAGTAACACTTTACAAGGACAGAAAAATAGCAAATGTAGCAACCGCAGAAAATTTCATTAAAAACCTTACCAGTGCCAATAAAAGAACCGCAGAAAAAGCAAGGGACAAATATAATGAAACAATTAAAGACCTAAAGAAGTCAAAGCCACTAAACGAAAGAATAGCAGAAAACAAAGGTAAGGATACATATTTAGTAAACTTTCAACTCTACACCACGAGGAAGTCTAGTAACACAATTAAACCTGCGTTTAAAAAATTTGGAGAACAATTTTACATAGAAAAGTTTGACATTAGACAGTCAACTGTCAAGACAAAAGAGTTCAAAAAAGAATGGGTAAAAAAGGTAATTTTTAGATTTATTGATGAAGAAGGTTTTAAAACTAAAGCATTACATAAGGTAGATAAAGAGTTTGATGAACTAATGGATATATTAAGAAAAGACAAAGATTTTGATGATTTTGTAAAGGATTTAATGAAACATTACGATAACCTTTTTGACGCTATCAAAATTCAACAAGTGGAAAAAATAAGCAAAAGCGGTGAGAAATTTGACATAATGAAGGAAAACTTAACCGACGGAATACTGCACTCATCAATGTATCATCGTTACATATATACACACATTAACAGCAATTTGACAAACCTAAAACAAGCAATAGAAAATAACACACATGTAGATAATCAATGTTGGTTTAATGCACTGATAGACTTTTACCACGATACCCTGATGGACGGCAACAAAAGAAAACAATTAACACGAGAAAAAATTATAGAGATCACAGGGAAGGAGGATTTTTATAGCAAAGGTGCTAGCATTGAAGATATGGATAAGGTATTTAAGGAGTTTAAAATACCAGCTAGAATTTTTGATAGCTTTAATAATCTGATATATAAACACGAACCGGAACATAACAAAAGAAGAATTAAGCCGTTTTATGCCATTGTCAAAAACAGCCACATATACACAATGAATAACGATCTTAAAAGCATTGAACAGAAGCAAAATTTAGAAGAACAAAAATACATAGTTAAAGCATCTACCGAATACCATTTGAACGAAAAGGAAGAACCACCAGAATATAAAATGTTCAATGATACATATGAACTTTTAAAAATGGTCAGTAAAGAAAAAGAACCAATAACATATTATTTAATTCCTGAACATAACAACCTGACCAGAATATTTTTTGAACTCTTGAACTCAAGATATGAACCGCAAATAAAATTTCAAGCGGGAATTATTACAGAACTGAAGCTTAAACTTAAGAAAACCACATTTATAATTAAAACTCAAAATTTGATTAAGGCGTCGTCGGATGGATGCATAGCAGTAGACGACGAAAAAACATATAACAACATGAACGAAGCAATGTTTAATTTCAATAAAGCTTTGTTTAATCCATTACATAAGTCATTTTATAATCAAATTGACCTGAAGATTTACAAAGAAGCAAAAACTATACCACCAACGGGACTTTTAAAACCTAGGGAATACATACCGAAAGATGTTACAGAAATAGACATAACGAAAGCATATACAAGTAGATTAATTAACATTAATAAAATACCGGTATTCAATCAATTTGACATCTGGAGACCTTACACTAATGACATGGATTATAATAAATTGTCAGATTATGTGTTATACTTTGTTGAAGATTGTAAAAGAACTAGGCCTAATTTTACAGTGTTTCTCAACTTGTTTAATAAAAAATACAACTTAATTTATGGAAAATATTTAAAACAGATTGAAGCAAACGATCTAAAAATATTGTATTATAAAACGCCTTCATTCATACACGATGTTAACTATAACGAGTTAGTTCAGGAATTATGGGGGAAATCCATTAGTGACCACGAGGAACTGGACAAACTCATTAAAAAACTTATTGTAAATGTTAATATCGGGCTTTTAGAAAAAACTGAAAACACCTCGCAAAAAAGCACAGTTTTTCAAAACTTAAAGGAGGCATCAAATTTTCAATTAAAACACGGGGGCAAAATACATAAGATAGAGGAGGTAGAATGTCACTACGATATAATGTTCACGGGAGATAAAGAAGACGAAAACATTTATTCAAAAATGTATGATGAACCAAGTGGAACGGATTATTATTTAGTGAATTTATCGGACAGTGTAATGTTAAATAATGGATATATTTATATAAAAGAGCTGTTGCTTCAAGATCATAATTTTAAAATGTTTCAAGATTATGATACACTAGTGAAAAATTTTGTATCCGTTATGAGTGTTAAAACAGACGCATTTGTAATAAGAAAACGGGATGTTGATAAAGCGCGAGAAATTTTAGAAATGAAAACCGGCATAGGAGAATGGAGGGCAAACAAAGAAGGTGAATATATAATTTTACCACCTGAAGAATACAAACCAAAACCAAATGAATTAAATAAAATACCTATCTACAAAAATGTAGCAATAGAAATCAAAGACGAGTATGACACCAAAAATATAATAGCAAATGTTATAAACACTAAGCATGTTATGATCAGGGCAAAATATGCAGGTTCAGGAAAGAGTTATATATGTGAAAAAATGGCAGATATGGGTATGAAAGTTTTATTTGTATGTCCTACCAATAAACTTGTTCAAAAATACGGCACGGAAGCAATCACAGTAAATAAATTCTTTTCTATAGCTGTGGGTGACGAGAAGCTAGAAAAATTTGATTATTCAGGTTATGATGTCATAGTGTTTGACGAGATTTACTTTAATGGATTAAGGGTGTTAAACAGAATTAGGGAATTTGTAGAACAAAATCAAGATAAAATAATAGTAGCTACCGGCGACGGTAAGCAATTAAAACCAGTATCAGAACTAACCAATTTACAGGAGCACGAAGAATACGCCGATAATTGCGTGGATAAAATTTTCAAATATAATATTTATCTGAAAGTTTGTAAACGATTAAGGAAAGAAGAGGATAGGAAAAAATTAGAAAATATTTATATTGACATTTTTGAAAATAATATTAAAGCGAGGGATTTAGTGAAAAAATATTTTAAATACACATCTGACATAAATTTAAACAGTAATAATGTAGCATATTTAAATGATACATGTAGGGAAGTTGCAAATGAAATTAGAAAAATGCAAAATAGAAAAGGCGAATATGAAGTAGGAGAAATAATGATATGTAGAGAGTATTTAAAATCAAAAACTTATAAATTTCAAGTTAATTTTAAATACAAGATTTTAAACATAATTGAAAATGCGGTAGTTTTAGAAGACGAGCACACTAAAATAATTCAACAATTACCACTGGATATGTTGAGGAAGCATTTTATATTCAATTATTGTTTTACCTGCCACAGCGTCCAAGGTTCAAGCATTGAGGGAGGTATAACAATATTTGATTATAATCATTGTCTGGTAGATAAAAACTGGCTGTGGACGGCGATTACAAGAGCCACAGATTTAAATAATGTATCATTCTTCAAATATGATAATGATGATAATGAATTTAATAAAAGATGCATATATAATTATTTATGTAGAAAGGTTGAAGGATATAAAGAACAAGATAGAAAAGCAAAAAGAAAAATAGATCATAAGAATTATATTACCGCTGAATGGCTATTAAATAGATTGAACGGGAGCTGTGAAAAATGTAGTGTAGAATTTTATGTTAAATCAATAGGCGGAAATATAAGGACAAATTTAACCGCACAGCGGAAATTTAACGATCAGACGCATACAATAAGCAATTGTATAGCATATTGCAAGAGGTGCAACTGCAACGCCAGCGATAAAGAAAAGTTTTAAAAAGTTTTAAAAATATATAGTTTTAAAAAAACTTTTATATAATATTGTATATATGCCAGTTGGTAAAAGCAAGGTTGAAGAAAAAGTAGAAGTGCCAGTAAATGAACAATTTGAAGAATTCAGTGAAAAAATCTACAATATGGTTTTAGAACTAACTCGTGATATGGAAACGGTGTTGGAAAAACTTGAAGTATTAACTGAAAAACCTAAATATAAATCAAATACAAATCCCGAAGGAACATATGCAAACAAAAGAAACGCTTATATTAAGAAATTAAATGATGGAGCAATTTTACAACCTAAACCGGAAACTATGGAATATTATAAGGTTGTAAAGGAAGGGGATAAGTATGTTTAAACCCCATTTTAGTATTTTATCCCACAAAAAATATCACAAAAAATATCACAAAAAATATTACAAAAAATATTACAAAAATTTTGTAATAAAATTTATGATAAAATTATTGTAATATTTTACAATAATTTATGATAAAATTTTATGAATTTTTTATCATAAATTCCTGAAAATTTAATGGTGAAATGTGCGAGGGTATGATGTCAAAAATGGGCAAAAATTTATGGAAATGTTGAAATCATAGGGTACCCCCTAGGGGAAAAACGTGTGAGGCGTTGGCGGGACGGAGATAAACATGGGGCAAGCCCATACCTAACTCTAGGAACCCACAAGCGCACCGTAATCCAAACTCTTGTTTGGCTACTCATCGAGCCCACCGAAACAACTGAAGCTCATGTCTTGCTCAATATGAGCGAACTTCGAACTTTTTAAGAGCCGTCAATCTTAACAGACCGTAGCTTCTAAAGGCTAAGCTTTGAATCGAACACCTTCAGCATACCATAAACTCTCATAATCACCCAGATAGAAGGCCTATATAGCCCCTATAGACCCCTCATAAAGCCCTTACAGAAGCACGAGCTCGGCACCAGCTTTCGCAAAACACGCAAGACCAAAGGCGGCGACCTCGCGGCTCTAAAACCTAAACCCTGTCTGAATAGTTTAGTTAGTAGTACGTTTACTTAGAGTTCCCGTTTAGCTAGCAGTACGTTTTACATAGGGTTCCCCAGTATAGAAGAAAAACCCTTAAGCCCAAAAACCCTGAAGCCTAAGAGGGCACGCCCCTCTCGCAAGAACGAGAAGCCTCGAGACGAAGTCGCTGTAGGCTGTTGTGATGGCCTGTTTAGGGTTGTTTTTCCTTAGGGTTCAGGGTTTAGGGTCCTGTTTAGGTTTCTGATGGCCCGTTGAAGGTTTAGAATTCAGGATTCAAGGTTTAGGGTTGAGGGTTTGATGGCCTGTTTAAGGTCTCGTTTAGGTTTCTGTGCTCACACTCGGACAGTCCAGGCGAGGCAGGTTTAGGTTTCAGAGTTCAAGGTTTAGGGCGCAGGGCTTAGGCTTCAGGGCTGAGATCCAGGCGAGCCCCGACCCTCCAAGTAGAAATTGATCTACCTACAAGTCTACTTATAATCGGCGAAGTAAGTCCTCTGACCATCTACGTAGGGCGCAGGTCTGGAGAATCGTGCTGGCAACTGCTTTACAGTAGAAGTCACAAAGTTGGAACATCGTTATCCTGATGCCCGTAAAGAGAAGCATGGAGACTCCTAGTACTAATCATCCATAATCCATGTTCCAACTTTCTGCGGGATTCACCATACAAGGTTTTCGGGGCGTAGACCTTCAGGCGCTATGAGCCTTCAGGGTTTGAATAAGGTTTCAGGTCGAGAGTTGCGTGGCTGCTTTCGCCTTGGGGATATGACCTGGGTCCCCCGGTGGCCCCTGAAGAATAAGGGTTCCCATGTTCCTGCCATGCTTTTGGTACGGGAGCCCAAAAAGGAAAAGGGCAAGCGGGTACTACTACGGGAACCTCGTAAGCCACGGCTTTAAGGCCCAGCGCTTTGGGGTTGAGGGCAAGGGCCCTAAGCCCTAAATCCTAAACCCCAAAAGGGTACCACTACGGGAGCCTCGTAAGCCACCGTTTTAAGGGCAAGGGCCCTAAGCCCTAAATCCTAAACCTTAAACCCCAAAAGGGCGCTACTACGGGAACCTCGTAAGCCACGGTTTTAGGGCCCAGGGCTTTCGGGTTGAGGGCTTAGGGTTTCGACACCAGGGTTTAAGGCTGCAGGACCAGGGCTGAGGTCTTCGGAGCCCAGGTGTAGAGCGCAGGGTGGAAGGTTTAGGGTTTTTTCCCTATGGTTTATAGGGTTTTAGGGTTTAGGGTTTTTTCCCTGGGTTTATAGGATTTTAGGGTTTAGGGTTTTTTGCCTGGGTTCAGGGTTTCAGGGTTTCGGCGCTCACACTCGGACAATCCAGGCGAGGTTTCAGGGTTTAGGGTTTGGGGCGCAGGGTGGAAGGGTGGCGGTGCCTTAATAACTAGAATAGGGTTTGGGGCACCTTCTACTGTAGTTATTTAATATGGAACCCCCAAAATAGTAGAGGTAATTAATGGTCCACAGGTTAGGACATGGAATTGGCCTCTCTGGGTTTTTTCGACACTCACACTCGATACCTGCTGGGTTGAAGGACTGGGACTTGCTGGGGCAAGGGCTGGTTTCCAGCAAACAGGAGGCCCCCAAAATAAGCGAAGTATGCAAGGGTTCGGTTTGGGGTCTAGGGCGCGAGCGCCCCGACACACTGCACCAGAAATCCCAGTCCTAGTCCAGACCAGAGATTCCAGCCGAGCCTGCTGCACCTTGAGCTGCAACGCCAGGAAATCAGCGTTCCGCTTTCGGGTCCATGCTGACTCCTACGGCAGAAGGACGGAAGAACAATAACAGTAAGACTAGCAGGGCAATGAAACAGAATAAAGCGCAACAAACACCTGCACATGCTTTCTCTAAACCCACAACAACCTCAATCACCACAGGTGCCACCACTGCAGGCGCAGCAACAGAAGCTCAAGGCAGCAGGAATAGAAGAAAACTTTATAGGCTGTAGGCTGTAGGGCCTAGGGTCTTGGGTTTTGGGATTCGTACACTACTCCGCACTGCTCGGACCAGGCATGCATTAAAGCAACTGACATACAAGCGCCAAAGCATCGCAAGGATCATCACGACGAACCAGACCATGGCCTCCTCAACATCCTGACTTGGCACACTGCTTCTCCAAGCCGAAGACTCCTGCCTAACGCCGTCCGACTGTCGGAAAACCCGGAAAAAGGACCCTTCCACGTCCTCCGTGGCAAACGTGACCTGATACCTCGGGAATGGGATGCCCACGATGCGTGCGGACTACCTAGATGCTCCGAGGACCCTTGATTAGTATTGGTAAAGACCCTAGTTAAACCCTAAACCCTAAACCCAAAGCCGTCGAGGCATACTTGGGCATCGGATTTGGAAGCCTATTTCCCTCTGGTCTCCATTGATGTCAGCCAGACAGTGCAGCAGCCCACGCACGGGTCCAAACCCTTTTTGCTGCAGGCTTGCAGGCAAGGACGCTTGGAGTTTGCCTTTGGACCCTATACCCGAAACCCTTCAACCCAAAACCCTTAACCCTAAACCCAAAACAGCCAACCCTTTTAAAACCCCCTAAACCCAAAACCCTGGAAACCCTAAATCCAAAACAGCAAACCCTCTTACAACCCCCTAAACCTAAACCCTGAAAACCCGAAACCCGAAACAGCCAACCCTAAATCCTCGTCAAGCTCGGTGTTGAGGACCAGGGATTACAACAGAGCCCAAAACCCCTCTTACAGTATACTCCATAAAGTTGGAAACCGGATTAAGTCCAAATAGTGCTGGGAATGGCTGCAGGGTTTCCAACTTTTGGGCTTCTACTGTAATACGTACATCATCTATGCACGGGTATGGGCGTCTCCTTGTGAGTAAGAAGGGTGAAGGGAAATTGTTTGATACAGGCTTCCTCTTGCTCATCATTCAGGCCCCTTACTTATATATTTATATGTGTGTATGTATGTATGTATGTATGTATGCATGCATGCATGCATGCATGCATGCATGCATGCATGTATGTATGTATGTGTGTATATATATATATATATATATAACCATATATATATATATATGTATGTGTAAATAATTGTACAAGACATTTCATATGCTATATCTTTTGTATTGTTTCGGCGGAGACCCTGGGAGAGGCTCCGGGTGCACAGACTCGGAGGGGAGGGGTTTAGGGGTTAGGGCCGATAGGGTTTAGGGGTTTGGGGCCGGAAGGGCTTAGGGGGGAGCGTGCCCAAAGATCCCAATACCCTTTAACTAAGGAGTATACCTTAAACTATAGGAGGCTTAATGTTATGATTTAAGGTATATTCCTTAATTCAGGGGTATTGGGTTCTCTGGGTGGCTCTGCAGCTTAAGGTGTTTTGCTTGTTAAGGGGCCCTTGTTCGCCTGCTCCAGGGAAAGCGTCAGTTGGGCTTAAGGTGTTTAGATACAGGGGTCTGACAAATTTTGAAACAGAATCAATCCCCTTCCTATCGCACGGGCACTACTAAACTATAACCATGTAAGGTGCAATTTAGATGTCTCAACCCATACGAATTCGGTCAAAGGCTCATGTGCAGAAGCATGAACTGCACGTCCAGCTCAGTGAGGCAGAGCCGGTCAGCGGCAGAGGTCCTGGCGTGAGAACTCGGTTGAGGGTTTAGAGTTGAAGTTGAGGGTTTAAGGGTCTAGGGGTTTAGGATTTAGGGTGTAGGCACGATCCTTTCGATCATGATGACTCGGATGATGGTCATGATTGGTGGCGCTGGATGCTTCCACTGCGATTAGTCGTAGCATCAGGCCTACGGCAACTGTTGCAGGCCTTATGCCTCTTCGAGTCGTCTGTGATGTTGTGGAAGCATGTCGCTGGCAATTATCAGTGGTCCGCCTTTTCAACTCATGCTTACCGCATGCTTGCACGGCAACAGTTGCTTTCAGTTCATGCCTCTCTGTTGCGAATGCTGCTAGCATTCCCAAGCCTGTCAGTGATGCAACGAAGAACGAAAGGATATCCACGCCACCAGTGAAAGCAGTCAGGCGTACCTGCCTTGAAAAAGCACATCTGCTTTTCAGAACGGCGATAACAACCAACGGCCTTGAAACGAGGCTGGTCCTGAATCCTGAACGCTACACCCGTTCTATCGGGGTAAGGGTCTCTGCTTTTTGCACAATGCCTGCATCGACTCCCAGGGCCCTCGGCCCTAAAACCCTGAACACCCAAGAATTTCAACCCCCCAACCACCTGAACCTCAAATTCGAAAGACCTTCTACCCTAAACCCTTTTCAGCATGGGCTCGGATGTGACCCTAAACCCTAAACCCCTTTTTGCAGCAGGCCTCGTTGTCCAGCAGCCCGGTTACAGCAAGAGCCCCCTCTGTCCCCCGCTTCTTCAAAACCCTAAACCCCTAAACTTAAAACCCCAAAACCCAAAACACTAAGTTCCCACTCCCTGAAAGTCCAGCCGTCCTCACACACTGCACCCCCCAGAGTTTCGAAAGCCAGGAGAGACCCTCCTTGCAAGCGTATGGGGTTTTGGGATTTTAAGAGACTTTTCGGGGGGTTAGGGTTTAGGGTTTAGGGAGTTCAGGGGGTTACTTAGAGGATCATGGGGCATAGTAAGTAGGGTCATGAGTACTGAAGGTTCTCAGTATTTAAGACTTTGGATACCCTACTTGTAGCCCTACTTACCAAGTCCCCTGATCCTCCAAGTAAGGCTCAGGGCAATCGGAAAGTTCTATGCATTCGGCTTGGGTTTAGGTTTGAGATTTGGGCTCTCCAGGGTTTTCTGCGTATGATTCTTGAGCTCCGCTTCTCCCTTTTGAGCTTTTTCGAATGTCTACAAGAGGCCGACAACGACCCGGAGGGTTTAGGGTTTAGGGTAGGGTTTAGGGTAGGGTTTAGGGTTTAGGGTAGGGTTTAGGGTTTAGGGAGAGGCGGCCCAAGCAAGGGAAAGGCGAGAAAAGGAGACGACCCTCACCCCTTCGTGTAGTTATTGACGTTAGTGCTTGACAGACCGCCCCTGATTGTGGCATGATCACCCTCGGCATCCGCTTGAAAATTCAGGCTTATAAGCTCAGGCTTATAAACCTCTTCTTGAACGAGGTCTCCCTGAAGTGTCTCAAGCAGTATGTGTTCAGTCTCTACTTTCTTTACAAGCCGAAACCCTAAACCCTTTTTTTGAGCAGGGACTGCAATGCACCAAGCCCTATCTAAAACCTTTCAATAGGCCGGAATCAGGGTTTAGAAAAACTGATTTGGAGTTTCCCTTGCTGGTGTCTGAGATGGAATGTCATTAGCCCATGACGCCGGTGGCTTGCAGCTCCACAAGAACCTTCGAAACGGCACAAGCACGAAGCAGACTCTTTTGCATCAACAATCATACGGCACAAATCTCCTAGAATGCCTTCAATTCTTGACTGTACGTTTGGGTATGTTTTCCCTTTATTATCGTGCCTTTAGAGCTAATTTCTGTGTACCCCCACACCCAAGCTGATTCTTTCAGGCCCCTTTACGGGGGACAGTCACAGCACCGCCCGAAACTCCTAACCTTTGGTGGACGAACCAAAGCCTGCCGTAGCTCGAAGCCTAGACGCTGGACTTTAGACTTCACACAAAACACTGACCGAACCAAGATCATGAGCACTTAACTCTCTGTGAATAAAAACCTATATACAACTACCCTTCTACAAACCATTGAAGACGCTAGGGATGTCCTGTGCTCGAATGGCATGGGCCGCGGAGCACAGCAGCGCACGGAAGCGAACGTGCAGCTTGATCTTCAAGGCCTGCTGCCGGCTGTATGTATCAAGCCGATAACGTGTCAACAACGCGTCAAACGGGTTTACTTTGTGTTGCGCAAAGAAACGTCAGGTGCATGGACACTCTATACGTAGACACAACTGTCCCTGTTTGTCTGTCGAGTTTAGTCTAGTGTAGTCTAGTCTGGTCTGAGCGGTCTACTCTCTGTCTACCTATCCGCTTGTCAGATGTGCCCTCCTGCTTCTGCACCGACACCGCTACCACCACTCCCGTCCGGCCGAAGATAGCCGAGTGCATCTCGGGGGTTCGATATTGAAGCTGCAGGATTGATGGCTAAACGGGCAGGACACAAACCCTGAAACTCCCGGAGCCTGCCAGATTCAGTGAACTTATGTAACAAATTCTAATGCCTGAGCTCCGACCTGCGCGTGCGCCGCATCTCGAGTGAGGAAATACTCCTCCTTCCACCACCCCTGGTTCGGAGCTTACCGACTTGGGGCTTAGGGTTCGGGGTTCAGGGTTTAGGGTTGTGATACCTCGAATCTGCTTGCCCATGCGGGTCCGAAGCATGAGAGTGCCGCACTCTGCATACATCTTTCAAATTAAACCCTAGCCATGATGGCAGCTGAACACATTATCAGCAGTTCCTAGACGCCCAAAGCCCGGAACAAAATCGTGAAGCCTGTCGTGCCAGGCAGGGTTTAAGGGTTCGAGATTCGAATCGTTGGGCTTTAGGATTGTAGCTTCAAGGTTCGGCGGGTCAGCCATCTTACGCAGCTCTGACAAGCCGTAAACCCTATCCTCACCGGCCCAACACCCAAGGAAATAAAAGTTGAAACTTTCAGAATGGGCTACCTGAAAAGAATCCCGAAAGTTGAAAAGTTGAGTTTACAGCCAATAAGTATTTATGTGGAGTTAGAGTTTCGGCCTTTAAGCCTTTAGGGCTTGATGATTCTGGTAGTTCCAGACATGGTAACTTCGGACACAAAAGGAGCCTAAATATTGACCTAAAAATTAGATACCCCTTGCCTGCTTCCTCATCTGGCAGTCGCGGTAAGTAGCAAAGGAGAGGAAGAAGACATGGAAGGCTGTGACAACCTTCCAGAACGAAACGACGTACGGCTTATGGCTGGAAAGTTTTGTTTTTGACAAAGCCTGGTAAGGTCTGCAGCAATACTGGTCCTTCGTGAACAAGTTGGAGAGCTTTTAGGGAGTCCGTCTACAGTATCCCTCTCCCCAGTTTCGCGATTACATTCATGAGACACAAGACCATAGAACTTGTCTGCCCTAGGTTCTCTGTCTGGATCAGGGAGCCTAAAGCACAGGCTGTCCCAAACCCTAGGCCCTGTTTATAGTTTGTTGCTGGGCTCAAGTCTGGCCACACCCCAAACTCCTAACCCTCAGCCGCGAATCCTATTCCTAACTAAAGCGAGGCTGCCTGCTGAAAACTCTACTTATCATGGTCGACTGTCTGAGCTCCCTGATCTGTTTCACTGTTTAAATCTACCTTAAACCCAGCATTCGCAATACTCTACAAGCCCACACAAAAAGAAATCCTAGCCGATCCGGCATCGGTTGAGGGAGCATCACTAAACGCCATGTGGCCCATAGAGACACTGCGGCGGAGGATGCGGCCCATGAGCCCTCCTTGACACGAGCTTTCGGGTTTAGGGTTTTGGGGTAAACGGCTTAGGGTTAGGAAATTCTTATGTTCGGGGTTTGGGGGGCTTAAACTTGAAAGTTTAATTTGTGCTAAGGTTTATATTCTATTAACCGCCCCTTTTCGTCTCACGTCCGGTCAGACAGATTGCTTGGGTTTAGAGCTTAGGGTTGGCTGTCAGCCCCAAACAACTTAGATGGGCCTGATGTCGAATAAGGCAATGCTCCCAATCGAGTCGGTTTTGTGCTGTCGATCATACCTAAGACCTAAAATCGTGTTGCACCGGATACGCTAGCTGCTGTCGGAATAGACGCCTGCAACCCCGGCAACACTGCAATCATCGCTGGTGGTGCTAAGTATAGTCTCTGATCTGGAAGGAAAAAAAGCGGGAAGACCACATAAAGCCAGGTATTCTCGTCCTCCAGAAAAGCGTAGCATAAGTCAGACAACGTGGCCTGCATCAAACGAGGTAGACAACCTTTTTGACAATCAACAGATGCTTCTTCACAAGAGCTGCCAACCCTTAACCCCCAAACCCTAAAGCTTATACTAAATAGCAGACCGAAACGAAAGGCCGTCCGAGGAGCAGAGGCAAAACTAAGGCCGGTTGCTGTGAGGGTCTCGCACATCCCGGGTCACCTCCCGGCGGAGGTTTTCGGGTTTAGGGTCGGGGTTAAGGGTTTCGGGGTTTAGGGGGTCAGGAGTTTAGGATTTCGTGTTTGGGGCTTTGGGCTTCTTGGGATGAATTGACCAGACTATCAGCGACGTCGTCTCTGCGCGGCGTCTATTAATCTAAAGGGAACTCCAGAAAGTTGGAATATGGAATAATGGCAGGATCCCCTATAATTTACCTTAAAGGGATTGTGATAATGATATTCCACCTTCTGGCTTCTACTGTATCTTGTGGCTGGGTTTTGTCTGTCTTTTCGACGGTGCACGCGTTTTTGTTCCTAGGATTCGGGGCGGCTCGGAAGTTTATGGAATTGGGCTTTGGGTCAGACAAGGGTTGGGGGTCTAAGGGTTATGGTATATACTTATAGGGTATTTTGGGGGTCAAAGTATATACCATAATGATACTTGGATCTAAGGGTTTACGGGTTATGGTCCAGAACTTGGCGCTTAGGGTTCAGACTCTCAGAGGGGTTTAGGGCATTCTGGAACATGGGACTGTCCGAATTAGGTTTCGGGGCCTAGTGTTCAGGTGTTACGGCATCGGCTTTGTGGATCGCCGATGGCGGAGTTTCGGATTAGGGGTGTGGGGTGTATGTTTCGCAACCTACAGCAACCAGCAAAAGAAGGCAAAGTTGACAGGAGAAACAAAACAACTACGCCCAAAAAGACAAACAAGCAGTTCACAAGAGACGTTCAATGCACTCGCGGATGAATTGGGGTTGAGGCTTGTTTAGATGCGTGCAGGGTTTGGGGTTGCGGCTTGTGGTTTAGGATTTTGGGCCCATGGAACCCAGATGCTACGGTGTTGTGGCGGTTGGCCTTGTATTCTCCTGTTACTTGCCCTACAGCGCCCATCGGACAAATTTCCTACTGGCCTCTTCGTGGGATCACCATCCACGCAGCAACATCTTTGTGGGCTCAACTGCTCGCCCTCTCTGTATACGAAGAGCAGACATGTAATGACATGCACGGTCGAATCGACTACGAGTTCGGTGGTTATGTGTGAGGGGTTGGGGTGTAGCTTGGACGCTACATGCCGCAGTTCCCTGCTGGCGTTGTTATTCTTGTGGGTTTTTTGGTGTGGGCTGGATGAGCTGCAGCGGCTTGGTGTGCAAGCTAAACAGCTTATGCTCAATATATTGCGTTATGGCCGTTATGGATGTACCCAAACCCTAAACCCTTCATACATGTACAGCTCGAGTTCTGTAACCTGATTCTCTTCATGATGCCGTGCGCTGCCGAGCCACGCAAGTTACATGTTGCCGTTCTTTGCCAGTCCACAGCTGTAACAACGCATGCCTACCCACTACTACAACTACAACTCCAACACAGCTACAGCTACTACTACTACTACTACTACTACTACTACTACTACTACTACTACTACTACTACTACTACTACTACTACTACTACTACTACTACTACTCAACTCCTGCTGCTGCTGCTGCTGCTACGGCTCCTGCTACTGCTACTGCTACTGCTGCTACTGCTAGTCCTATCACGACCACGACTCGATTGCGACTGCGACTTCGAAGGCGACTGCGACTGCTGCTGCCACTGCGACTGCGGCGACTACTACAACTTGCACTACCACTGCAACAGCCGCAGCGACCGTGTTACATACCACCACCACCACTACCACCAGCAGCACGACGACGACGACGACGACGACTACTACTACTACTACTACTACTACTACTACTACTACTAAATGCTACTTTAGGATCTAGGTTCAGGTGGTGCTGTGGGTGTCCTCACACGCCCACCACACGGCAGTCGCGGGCTCACAAGAAACGTCGCTCTTCGACTGTGCATGCCAAACCGGCCCAGACCCCAACCTCTTGCTCCAGTAACCCTAAACCCTAAACCCTAAACCCTAAACCCTAAACCCTAAACCCTAAACCCGAAAGGCTTGAAACCTGAAGACCTTAACCGTGGACCTGACAACCCTAAACTCTGAATCCACGGCCATGATGTCTCCGAAAGCCACAACAAAAGGCAGCAAGGCCTCCACTCCGAACCCTAGGCTTGAAGAAATCAAAGCTCCAAACTCCTCAAAACAGCTTACACAAGCTCTCCGAATAAGCATCCCATCGAGGGCGGCTTGCGCGGAGTTGCTGGGGTTTTCGGATTTAGGTGGACGGGACTCAGAGGTGGAAGTTCTGGCTTGACTTAAGCCCTGTGTTGAAACCGGCGGACAGGGTTTAGGCCGTAGAACAATGGAGATTTCCATCACAGCCATGCCACGACGTTGCCGGACTCTGCGGCAACATGAATCGGAAGGTGGCCTCGTCATATACATTGTTACGGTCAGTTATGACTATTATTGTGGGGGTTGCAGGCGTCTGAACAAGTAACAGCAAGATTCCCCGAGAGCCCTTGTAATGATACCGTCAATAATCTCTTGAACAGGCCTTGATCCAGTTCTTCTGGCCCCTACATTAAGTTGCCGGTTCTATTGCTTTGCTTCAAGACCCAGGCATTTTCGTGGATCAGTTGGGGGCCTCAACAACTCGTATGAGGCTCCGTCGTAGGGTTCATGTGTAGTGATCATGTGTACTTACGCAAGTAGGATTTGCACATATGCTGCTGTGGTATATTTTCTGTTTGGGGCAAAAGGGTACCTGTCACTGACTTCCTCACTCCCTCTCCAGTAGGCTGAATACAACAAGAACCCCCTAAACCCCAAACTAATCCTATAAACCGAAGGCACCAATCCCAGAGTCCTTCCCTGTGTCTTGTGAGCTCATGACTCTTTGAGTTGGCACCTCAAGCTTGTACTCTAGTGGCCTCTGGTTCCGTAACCATGGAACAGACTTGCTCACGCGTCACTTTGGGACTTGGGGGTTTTATTATGGTACGAGTACAACTACGTAATCAAGAGAAAGCCAAAGGTTAAGGAATGATGAAATTATCCAGGCTGCCTTTATTGTGCTCGGACTCTCTAGCAAGCTAGCCTGCAGCCGTAAAGACGCTAGTCCCCTGCAGCTTCAAAGACTAACCCTGTTTCTCGCACGACCTTTTGGCTCTGGGCCTCGTGTACTACTCCGGGCGCATTGTGAGGTTTGAAACTGGAGACTTGCGCGACTGCCTTCAGCATCGCAGGAGTGGACATCTGCGGCGAGGTTCAGCAGGTACCCGACAACTTGTATCTGCCTGGGCAGCCGGAGAGCCTTTAGATGTCCGGGGCTTTGGTTCTTGGGACTTAAGGCTTGGGAGCCTCAGCGTCTATGCCGTCGCGGGATTTCAGTACAAATGCGTTGGACATTGTATCCTGTGCTACTTTAATTGGCGATGCGAGCAACGGACACTTGCCTGCCTGCCTGCCTGCCTGCCTACCTACAAGTATCTACATTGCACGTACATACATGCACAGGTGCAAAGAGAACAACTGTACTTACATAGATACCTAGGTAAATACTTGCTTCCTAGTCGGCTTGCTCGCCTTGTTTTAATTACTCTCTTTCTCTGACTTTCTCTTGCGCGGCGGTATGCAGATGAATCCTAAACCCTGAACCCCTAAACTCCTTGGCCTGTGTTCTCCGCGCTCCATTCTTGGAAAACTCTAATGGGAGTTTCCGAAAATAGGGGATCCACATATAGTACCCTAAATAGTAGGATCCTTATTATAAGGGCCCCAAATTAAGGTACCCCTAATTTATGGAAACTCCCAAACAGCAATCCATGGTTTAGGGGCTTAAGGTTTAGGATTTACGATGATCTACTCCTTCGTGACGATGCCTGTAGGACCCCGCCAGATTCTAGACGTTCAGGCTATATTGCTAACATCCCAGAAAATTTCCGTATGGAAAACCTGATTGCAAATCCTGACACGCTTGAAAGACCTGCGACTTCTCCGTACCCTAGCCTCATTAGTCCCTACTGTCCCAACAGCTGCTACTTTTCGAGAAGTCTGTACATGAACAGCACCAGTTCAGGTCTCACCCGTCTCAACATTCAAGAAGCGTCTGACCCCTGTAATCATTGATGCTTGCACACAGAGTTCACCAAAAAAGTCCTACAATCAGACCCCTCCCAGATCCCAATTAGTGCGATGATTCTGGTGAGCCCTGGCACGATAAATGCTCGAATCCTCTTCGACGTGCTTGAGAACTATATTGAATCTGGTATCCAGCTGGTTTTACGAGCCGGGATGGCGCACGGGAGGACGGAGGATTGGGATGGGCTGACTATGCAGTACAGGCACCTGACGGATCAGAGTGCGTAGTAAACAGGCCAACCAAAATAAAACTAGAGCGACATGTGTGGTAACCCAAATAGACGCATACCTAACTCTGCTCATAGCCCGCTTTCTAAGGCCCGCTTATTTCCAGCAAGAGCCGAGGCTGTTGCCAAACCCTCACCCCTAAGCCCTAAAGGCCCTCTTGTTTCGCCCTCTTGCAGCGATTCAGTTCTGGCCCAAAGGAAACGATATCCTAGCCGGGGAAAACTTGCGCGGACCCTAACACCCAGTATAGCGGCCCTAACAAACAACATGGTCGTATTGGGGGATTTTTTCCCTGTACATCTATGTACATCCATAATGGCGGCCCTAACAAACAACATGGTCGATTCTGGGGGAGATATTATACTGTACATCCATACGGGCTATGGGGGGTACTGTGGGAACTCTTCAGCCCGACAGGTACCCAGAGCCTCCAAAACCCCTTAATTAAGGAATATACCTTCAATTATAATCGGATCCCTTATATGATTTAAGGTCTATTCCTTAATTAAGGGGTTTTGGAGGCTCTGGGTAACTTCCGCACAAGCATGGCAGGTTCGGAAATGGCGGTTTGCTTTTAGAAAGAGACGCCGAGGACCACGGGCTCACGGGCACATCCACTGCCAAGTTTACCCCTGCTCTATGACTATGGTGAATCTGCAGAATGCGGCTGCAGCAGGTTTCTCCCCTACTTCGTAGGTTGCAGGAACTCGCAGCACCCGGGCGCATTT